TCCTGATACGTTTACAGACCATCCCAACAACACTTCCCTGGATCATATGGCTCAGAATATCCTAGATGAAAGTTTAATCTGTATGATGTAATAAAAGCATGAGCAGCAAAAGAGTTCAGTATCTGCAGTATTGTTTGCTCTGTCCTGCTAACCAAACCAGCATTTGGCTTTTGCAAAAGGTGTCCCTCTTCCAGAAGTTGTCAGAGCGCTAAATGCAGTACAGTGACCTCAGCCTCACAGCTGGGGCTCTTCTGAATTAAACACAAAGACTCCTCCAGAGCTACTGGGTTTTTCCCCAAAGGAGTTGCTCACCAGCACTGTTGTTGAGAGTTCATAAAAGATGGTGTCCAGGTCAGCATCACTAGCACGCAAATCTTCACGAGCTACAATGGTTGTATTCACCTTTGTATCCTGAAACAAAGTGGTTGTGGTTATTCTCTCTGAAATGGGCTGAAGACTTCTCCCTGCTAACTCTTGCCTGGTCCCACAGCACTGGGTGACCTAGTGTCCTCTTCACTTCTGCAAAACACTTACCTCAGGAATAACTCTGGTGAGATTCGTTTCCTTAAACACTGGGCTGTTATCGTTCATGTTGAGAATGGTCACAAAAATGTTCAAATAATCACTCTGCAGAAAGGGTACAGCGAGAGTATCAAAGACCCAAATAAGACTTTTAGGGGCTGATCCTGATTTGCAGTGATCAGAGGGGATGGTGTGAGGAGCACAGCTGGATGGGGTCTGGATGGGGCCGGGGTTTGCAGCCAGCCCACAGTGTGTGGGGAGGATTGTGGGTTTGTTCCCACCCCCTCCCCATTCGTGGAGCCGCGGGCACTCTCTCTCTGACTGTGAGAGGAGGGTGTATGTCCGCAAAGAAAAGGACATCTCCTCATCCCCATCTCTGGACTAGGAAGAGCAGAGGGAAGTACGTGCTGCCCTGCAGTACCTTGTAACAGGGCTGAGTGTTTGGAAGAGCACTCACCTGCCCAGCATCGTTCTGGCAGATCAGGGACACCAGCAGCAAGGTGTCCTTCTGTAGGCAAAACCAAAAACCCAGCCATTGTAGAAACAAGCCAAAATCTACTAACTCTTTCTAAAGTAAATACAAGCATTGCTGAATCAGAAATGCTGCTGGGCTTTATCATGTTTTCAGGCATATCTAACTTCTTTCTTTCCTTTGCAGCTGCCCATCAGCACTGGGATCTTGTTTATAATGGAGTCAAAACAGACCAGCTTCTCTCCCTGTGATTCCTGTAACATGTCGGCAGAGCTAATCGGGCATTTTCTCGCACTTCAGGTAAATAGAAACAGAGATTTCTTTTCAAATTGAATGAAACAGAAATGTACCATGCAGCAAGTACAGTGTCACCTGCAGGGTGTTAACTCTGCTGTTCTTTGCTCAAATAAATATGGTTTTTTACATGAGGGGAAAGGCAGCTTAAGGATGCTTGTGGCTGTGTACAGAGCACTCCAGGAAAGTAATTTGGCAGCAACCTAACTGAACACACTGACCTTTTATACAGTCTTTATGCTTCACACAAGATCACCTCACTGCTCAAAGCTGTGTTTTCTACAGGCAAACAGGGGTCTTTTTATGTGAGTCCTGGAGAGCTCTGAACGCTATAGTTGTCACATTTTCAGTTTTAAAACTTCCACTTGCTTTAATTGATACAGGCTCATTGAAGGGAGGTGACAGCAGACATACCATGCACCCCCTCCTCCTCATACTCTGCTTGTGGAAGGGCTGACCTCCCAAACAGTTAGCTCAAACTCAACTGAAATAGGTTTATAATTTATTTATAAGTTGTTTCCTCGATCCTTTAGAAAAGGATTACAAATCCCCAAAGTCCAAAACCCCAGGTTGAAACTCATTGCATCCCAGCATTATCCATCTCATCCTTACAGCTGCTAGCTACAGGCTTACCTCATAGTCCACACTTTGGTTCAGCTGCAGCTCAGACCCCTGTATAGTGAAAAAACTGACATCAGGGGAATTAGGATCAATCATCACAGTGTAGCCTGGTTCCACATGGATAGTGGTCACCACATAGCCAGGAGGGTTATTTTCATAAACGCTTGGTTTGCTATTATCAACGGAACATCCTGGAAAAACACACAAACGAGACACAAAATTGCCCAGGGATTCGCATTGTGACAGGGCTGGGTGAGACCTGAGACCCCTCTGGTTATCACTGGGGAGAAGGGTGTTGAACAAAGCTGTCTCAGAGTAGGAGGGTAAAAATCTCCCACCTATAATGGTGCAACCCTGCTCTGGGATTATTCCTCTGTGGTCATGGACCTCCTGCAAGAGCTTACCTTGTTGCTGTGCTGAAACATGTGTTATGAAGGGCAGCAGAAAGAGCACAGAAGTGAGGAGCCAGTGAGGAAGAGCCATGGCGAGCTGTCAGTTGTTGACAAAATCCCCGTTTCCCTCTTCTCTCCCCGTTTCTCCCAGTGCTGTCTTCTGAGTTCACTGCTTTGTGAAGGTAAAAACATTGACTGGCTGGAGTGGGTTGCTGCAGTTCAACCTTTGCCTCTTTGCCTCGTTGGATGACTTATTGAAAGATATTTACCAGTCACAGCACATGATGACACATAAATTCCTGCTTCTGCTTTGTTCCTGGGTCTTCCCTGTCCTAAACTCTCTGTAGCACAACGATGTATTTGAAGCGTTTCAGAACTCAGAGTTAAGCCCCCTGAGATGAGCACAAGCATGAAGGAGGACGAGGGCTGACGCTTGGGAAGCTGTCTGTATACTCCAGCCTCTCTCAGTGGGGAGGAAGTGGGCAAATTTATGTTTCTTTTGTGCCAGAGATAGCGTCTGGTTTGGTTAGATAATTTCCTGGAAAAAGTCATAATGATGCTGCTATATGTCCTATATCTTATTTATTTTAGCCAGGCTTTTTCTGCATGGCCTACACCCCTTTTTATAACAGGTTTTGCTCTCCAGCCCATGACTTATGATCTCTCTCTTCTAGTTGCAGCCTGTCATGTTGCTGCTGAAAAATAGATTAAAAAAAAAAAAAAAGCAAGCCAGATTTTAAATGTCTTTGTTTCTGGAAAAAGCAAATGTTAGTGAAGACAAAGCCATGTGGCTGCTCTTTTGTTTGGATGGTAAAGGAAGGAGCTAGGCCCTGTGTAAGTCCTTGGCTTGAGATAATCAGTTATGTTTCTGAGAAAATCTTGTTATTCCCAGGCACCCTACAATATCCTCACAAAGTGAGCAGGGTGGATCCAGAGAGAGCGACTGGGCCCAGCTGCAGCCCAGTGATTGCCCAGCAACTTTGTAGGGACATCACATGCCCTCTTCTACCAGTTGCCAGCAGAGGCTCTTTGTGGGGATGCTCCCCAGAATCTCCATCCACGCTCCAGTTACTTACATCTCAGCAGCTTCCTGAAGCCTCGATAGATGCTATTCTGCTGTCCTGTTCTGTCATTTTCTGAGTGAATTTTTCCAAGCCAAATATCAAGCAGCAAGGTGTTTGGCCACTTGTGCAAAGAAACACCAGTGTTTTCATCTTGCCCCCTGTGTAGGAGGAGAAAGGGGACAACTGCTCTCACTGCCTCTTTTAAAAGCCCAATTGATTTCAGAAAGTTCTCAGGTGCTGCATTTTAGCCAGATGGCCCTTAGTGGCTTAATGAAACACAGACTGTCAACACTCCTTCCAAAACTCCTCCAAGAGGTCTCTTTCCTTGCAGGGATTTCCTATGGACCGAAATAAACACACGCCAAGGTTTGTGAGACCAGCACTTCAGCATCCCAGTAAGGGAATTTGGGAGGGACTAGCTCTTTGCAAGTGTCAGGTACATCCTAGGTGGTGAAAACTACTGGTGCAGGATGGACTGCGCCGTTCTGCGGGAGGCACACATGGTCACAGCTGAAGATGCCTTATTTTAGAGCTGTTCTTCCAAATCTGTTGGTTTTACAGGAAAGGTGGAGTTGCTGTTCTATCAGAGGAGGGAATCTGCCAGGCAGCATGGGGCAGGGATAACATGTAAAGCTTATTAAATGGTGGGAGCAAATTCCTCTTAGTGGAGCTTTGTCTTTAGTGGCTCTGAGAAAGCTGGGCCAGTAAATACAGGGGCCGAATGGAGTGGAAACGAGATTTACAGTGTGTATCTATGTTGCATAGCTCTCGGCCATTTCTTTGCAATAAAATCCAGCACCCGGCAAAGTTTCTGCTAAACAGAGGCCCTGATGCTGGCCTCTGTGCAGTTGGGTTGTGGGCAGTCCTCAGTCCCAGCCACGGAAGGTGTGGGACTCCAGCTAGTCCCAACATGCCTCACGTGGGGGAAACCCAGCAAGCATCCCCTCGGGTGGGGGAAGTCTGGCAAAATACTTTTCCCATGCCCCCTGCCTTCCTAATTCCAACACCCAGTGATGGTAGCATGCTTGTTACTGTTCCCAAAGAGCAGCCAAAGCACAGGCGTAGCTAACAAATCTTTATTTGACTCCAGAAGCAGGCAGGCAGATGCTAACACAAAGTGGAAGTGATGTGCTTCATTCAGGCACCATCTACTGACAGCAGTTCACACTGACATGGATTTCACTCGACAATCTAAGGGGTTTTATTGGGGTTTGGCTGCTTTCCAGATTTTTTTTTTTTATTTGCTGATCTCAAGAGTTTTTCCTAAGCAAATTCAATAGCTTCCTTGTTTATTTTTGGGGCTATATACATGCAAAGCCGTCTCCTTGACTGTTTCTTTCCCGTCACCTTCAGTCAAAACTGTCTGTATCTTCCTTCATGTCTGCAACCAGCTGCTTAGAAACAGGGCAAATGTACTGGCTGGTAATTGCAGCAGCTTCCCTGGCATCACTGTCCGAGTGGCTGGAAGGGAAAAAATGAGTGATAGTTTGTGATTCCTGGGGGCATGGACTGCAGGAATTGTGACTAGGCCACCTTGTAAAATTCAAAGGTGACTCCAAGAGCAGATGTATGATAGAGGGACCCAGATTGTGGCTGCCTGCAGCCAGGCACCCCACAAATGCACAGGCAAGCCCATTGGTCTTATCATCCCTGTTTATTCTAGGCAATGTGGACAGGAGGTACTAAGGGCCAGCTTATTCCTCCAGATTTTAGTGATTTAACAGTGAGATGTCTAATTGAAAGTGGTTGGTCACTAGGAAGAGACAATGTTCAGATGCTGGGACAGCCCACCCTGAGGTGTGTGTTGGAATCAATAACTGAATCCAGGCAGGGTAGCAAAGGCTTTCTATTTTAACTGTTGGATCAGGTTTCTGAATGAGATGAACAGTTGTTTCAGTCCAGGATGGCAACTCTATGATTAGAAAAAGATATTATTTCGTTTCCTTGAGTTTTATTATTTTTAATAACTGGCTTTTATATGGCACTTCTTAGCAGTCAATCTCAATGCCAACTCTGCTTTAGGTAAGGCAAAACTGAGTGCCAGGTGGGCTTGGCACGTAGAAATAGAGGTCACTGTGAATGCAGGCACGGGAATCAATGAAGGTTGCACACGGCCGCATGCCACCTTGCCGTTAGACGAAAGCATTTGCTTTTCTAGCTCCGCAAACCACCCCTGGGAGTGTCATTGCTGGCAGAGTGACAGGAGGTACAAAGGTGTGTGACGGAGGGCTGCAATTCAGCCATGACAGTCCCCGAGACAGTGCCTCACAAGCTGATGGCGAATGAGGCAGAAGTGAGTTCAAAATATGGACACCCTTCTCCTTTTTGAGGATATTTTTGAGGATATCAGCTGAGACCTTCTGATCTGCTGCATTACATCAGACTTGGGGCAAAAATTGGGCATTTACAAGTTCCTAAAGGTCCTCTTTCGGCTCCAATAATTTGGTGATCAGGGCCATAGAGATGACAAATCTGTCCCACCTACCCGGTGTTTAGAAAGCTCTGGTACAACCACACAAAGCAAAGTTCCTCATGGCTGTTTTCTTCCTCACTCCCCTGTACATCTGTGTTGACTGGGCCAGGAGAGCTGGGTTCAATAAAGAAAATTAGTAACAGTTTTAAAAATCCCCACAAACAGTGTAACCACCACAGCTGTAAGTTAGCCTACTGACTGTCACCATAGCTGTGCAGGAGGAAAAAGCAGTATCCTCTTCAAATCAGGCTCCGATGTGTTCTGGCTGGCTAAGGGACAGGTTTTAATATGCACTTGTGCTCTGCCTCATTACCCAGTACCAGTGTGTCCTTCCACCCATGGATATATACATTTTTCCAGCATTTGGAAATTAAAAATCTATTGCATCTGCCAGGATTTTATTAGTGGTGCATGTCCCAGAAAATATCAAAGCACCCTGAATAGATGGGAAGGAATCAATGTGCTATGTCTCTGCCTTGAAGAAAGGATCAAGCTTGAAGGAAACCTCTCCAGGCAACATTGTCCCTTCCTGACATACCAGCAGCAAGGGCAACAGCAGCTGTGAGTTGTAGCACAGTGTGCCCCTCATTATAACTGATGATGGGCTCATATACGTGGCTTTAGTGGGAGCCAGTGGCCCCTTATTTCGGCCGGATGAAAGACCCTATATTGGCCATACATATGATTATGTCTAAAGTCTGCCCAGTTTGGCAGTCAGAGCCATGGGTGGGGACCATGAAACCCAGAGGTCTTCCTCGTTCTGTTACAGAGCCCATTTATCTACAAATATTTTCTCACATGCTTTATTTGAAGGAGGTAAATCTCCTACAACTTTCCCAAAAAGGATGACTCACTCAAAGTGCAAACAAAAAATCCTGGGTTGTGATCAGGTGTAAAGTTTTCTGTCCTGTGGATTAAGCTGGATATGCATACACAGTAAATGTTGATTTGTGCTTAGAAACGGACTTGGTGAGACGGTTTGTGTCCTGCTCTGCCTGCTGGGGGACACAGGGCAGGCTGATGGGATATCTCTGCTATTGCACAGCAGCTCCAGGCACAGCCCAGTGGGAAATGACTTGCCCTTGTCTTGAGTTTTCTGAACCACTGGTCATGCCATCCCCCTTTCCTTTGAGCTGAGACCTGCCTTCCCGCAGCCTGCATGGCCCAAGCTGCCCTCCCATTCCTCAGGAATCAGAGCTCTTACCTGCGCTTGCGGCCCATGAGATTTTGAATCAATTTCTGAACTTGAGCATTTCCTCTCATCTTGCTGTATTCACTGGTAAACAGTCCATCTGAGTGCCTCTGGGACCTGCGTCACAGAAAATACAGTGCAACGGCTGCTTCTCCCAGCCAAGCGATGTGGGACATCACAAGACACAGAAATTTCTCTCTTCCCACCATCAAGGAGCCCTGCATCCCTCCCCTTCTCCTCTTCCGTCTCCTTTCATCTCGGACATCTCCTGGATGAGGCCAGTGCTCAGGCTGGCTCTGGAGCTGGAGGCAGCTCAGTCCCATGGGCAGCCCCCTCATTGCTGGGATCCCATCTCCTGCTGG